TTAGAAGAGCAGGGCGACCAGGCACGCTGGTATAGCCAGGCAGGCAGGCAGGCAGGCAGGCAGGCAGGCACTGGCCCCACTCATTCAGACGAATGCAACGGCAACTGGGAACTGGGCTGCACGCCACTGCTCTTAATAATTCCAGAAGAATTCCTCCCCCTCTTCTCGAGTGCCTCTTGATTTTCGCGAATAAACGGCCTTTATGCGAGTCTACACATCGAGATATCGGGCGGCCGTCCCGTTCCGTCCCGGCCGAGAGGGGATCAAAAGGACGAGGGGGAAAAAAACAGGGGGGAGAAGGGTAAAACGATAAAAAGGGAGAGAGAGAGTGTTTTTTATTGTAATTTGTTAACTTCCGATTTGGATCCACCACCACCACACTGTCCGACAAAATGTTTTATTAATCAGCAGAAGATGAGGCTCTGCCTATTTTAATTTAGGCCCCCGGAGTCTTTCATTGCAGGTGACCCTTTGCCCGCCTACGACATGTATGGGTTTTGTTTTACCGCGGGGCTCTACAACTTATCATATCTCTAACGAATGTTTGTTCCCCGACGTAACTATCCATATGTTAAAGTAAGGGAATGGATGTTGAAACGTGACTTAAAAGTGGATACTTTGGGGTAAAGATAGACGCAAGTCGAATAACAATCTTAACTTTAAAGGACTACAGTAAAGGTTACAGGTCACAACTTTAACACTTAAATTAGCTAATATGAAACACAGTAAAGGTGGGCAATTCTAGACAGAGGTGTCTGGACGTCACGCGATTTTTGTGATCAATACTGAGAAGGTACTGCGGCTTTGTACAAAAAATGAATCGACGCGTCTTAAGATGGTGAGCGTGGACGTGTGTTGCAAAAACAACGTAGCTCAATTAACCAAGAATAAATTACGGAGTCCTGTATTCTGTATGGGTTCGAAATTTTTCCCACAATGCAGATCAAAAACTATTCAGATATATGAGAATCGAAAAATTCGTATAAATAGAATGGATATTTTACTGCGACACAAATTAACCTAAAAAAATATATCAGCGATATATCAGCGATATATCATGTCTCAGTCTAACTAGCCTTGCCTGCCACACTACTTAAGAGAAAAGACCCCCCTCCCCTGCATTAAACCCGCTTCTGCGCTCTCTCTCTCTCTCTCTCTCTCTCTCTCTCTCTCTCTCTCCACAGTAATACGGTCTATAAATAATCAGCCAGCCCTTGCCATTGCGAATCGGGCCTCGGGGAGTCATGATGGGGAGCAAGGAGGAGGAGGAGGAGGGCGTTAAAAAATTGAGCCGCGCTGCCCTTTTTAGTGTGGGCGGCCGTGTCCCGGCGCGCTGGCCGCGCTGCTGCTGCCGCTCATCCTCTTCATCCTCCTCCTCCTCCTCCTCCTCCTCCTTCCTCCTACCCCTGGCCCCTCACCCCCAGCCTGCTCAAGCTCCTTGTCCTATTTAAACTTGGATGCGCCCTATAGGTTCGCGGCTCGGCAAGGTCACGACCTCACCCAAACCTGCTGCCGCCCCCGCCACGACGCCCGCCCTTTTCTGCTGCTACTCGCGAACAGAAAAAAGAAAAAGAAAAACGGAAAAAAACAAGTCGGCGCTGTAATCGCTGCCGCGGCAAAACCTTCGGTACTCGTAAACTTTCCGCGAAAAAAAGATTGGAAATGTGCCGAGTAGCAAAAATGATTGCTTATGCGGATAGAGCTCACCTTCGATGCAGTCTACAAAAATCACCGCGTGGAAGTTTTGACATGGCAAAAACGTTTCGAAAACAAAACAAAAAAAAACTCATTTCGTAAAATGACGGCCTCGTTTTTTGAAACATGTATTTCTTGGAGGGCCTCTTTGGTATTCTTGTGCTACGCGGCACTCGAAGACGAGGCCGACGACCGCCGGTAATATTCATATTTATAGCGAAATAAAGCCTCTCCATTCTAATGGCCGTCGTGGCGCGCGAAAACGAACCACCAAATTAGAATTAACCTCCCTCCAGCCCGGACGGCATTCTGGCATCTGTGCAGCCGGTGGCC